ATCCAAAATTTTTAGTCAGTTGAAAAAAAAAATTTTTTTTTTCGATTATTAGATTAATATTTATATTTATGAAATTAATGTAAGTAGTTCATATAACTTCAATATATTTTTTTTAAATTTTTAGTCGAATTTAAATAGCAATACACCGAATTTTCGCAAAAATAAATTTTTGTCATGCATCTAAACAATAGTTTTGAAATTATTTTGAGCGTTGAATGCTGTCTCTTTTCAACATGCCTAAACACATCAGGCATGTTTCTACGGCTTACTTAGAAAGTTACTAAAGTAACTTTAAGATTTTATCGTTTCCATTGACATAAGTTACTTATTGCATGTGAAACAATTTTTATGTGTCAAAAAATTCTTTGAAAGTTCTATTGGAGCTTTTGTTTGTAAAAATAAACTTCACTTAATAATATGAAGCACAAAAAATTAAATATATAATTGATATATATAATTATATCTATATATATATATGATTTACATATCTATTTCATATTCAATTAATAGAAACAAGAATTTTTTTAAATATTTACTTCTCAGTGTGTGTGTTTATAGTTCAGCTATTGTTTGTTTACATTGTACATAGAGAACATATATCAAACTTTGGTAACTCCCTTGTGGGAAATTTATTTTTAATGGTTGCATTCGATATATTTTGTTTAGTTTTTGGTGCTTTATTTTCAAGTAAATTCAAAAACACGAAAGCTCTTTGTATGATTAACTAAATTTACTTAGTAAGGTCTACTTACCACAAATTATTGTTAAGTTAATTTTTTTTATGCTTATATGTAATATTTAATGGAAACACGTAACATTTTAATTTACAAACACACTAAACTCAAACGATGGGACGATAATAATATGAGAACATAAGCGCAATTATGGCCTTAATCATATCGGCATAAGTTATTAACTTATAAGTTTAAAACAAAATAAGTTGTCAATTGAATAACTTATGAAATATAGCAGTTAGACAACGTTACAATATACATGAAAATTAGAGTTCAAACTGGAGATGATAAAATAAATAATGTAATTTTGGCAGTGTTTCTTCATGTTGACTGTCACTGAAAACATTTTTGCTTTCATTTCATCAAGATAAATGATTTTAAATTAAACACATTACAAAACAAAGGAATATATATAAGATATTATTAGAATGTCAAAAATTATTGGAAATAATTAAAATTTTATGCAGCTTAATAAATACAACATAATAATTATGTATATTATAAATAAAATACATCAGTATGACTAGCGTCTTTTGAAAATCAAATGGTTTTCCTATTTTAAAAAGTGTTCTTTGACATAGATCATCTGATTTTTAGTGTTGATAAAGTTTTACGATGCGGTATATATGTTAGTGATTTGTTTCATTTTTCTATAATTCCGTAAGTTAATAACGTCCTTATTAATTTTTTAAAAGTCATAGGGAACAATGGATAATGTTTCTGTTGAAGAACGTTCACAGTCGAACAATTATGCCTTGGTAAGATTCCACGGATATTATAAAGCCAAAGCTAAGTGTGTTTTATATAATTGTTAGGCAAACTATAAATTTTCGTCTGAAGAACTGCGAGTGTTGCGAGAATGCAGCACCGAATCTTTTTTGCAAAGGTCATTACCATTTGGAACTGGTTTTGGATTACTCGCGTATTTTGGCGTCAAACGGGGATATTTCCAGGTTAACTTTTAAGAAAATATCTCTGGTACAATTGACTTCATTAAATTTCTTAGCCTAATTCAAAATTTGGCGCGGTACTAAAAATTATACTGGGCGCAACGGTAGGGTATTTTTTGGGTAAATTCAGCTATCAACAAAAATGTGCGGAAAAACTTATGCAACTTCCAAATTCGAAATTGGCCGAAATGATCAGGCTGCGACGAAACGGTAAATTAAAGGATGGTTTATTATCTGGATTTTCATCAATCACAACTCCTAATGCAAACGACATGTATACAGATATGGATCCAAATGAGTATAACGTCCTAGATTTTGATTCTGACTCCAGATCATCTATAATGGAGCTTGATGATTTGTATCGTCCGTCATTAGATAGTAAGTATAATTTTGATAAAAAATTGATATTTAGATAAAATATATGTATTTTAGGTTCATCTAGTTCTTACGAAACAGAAATTCCTTTACCAGCTGCTAAAGCTTTTACAACTTACGAAGAACTTAGAAAAAAAAATCGCGAGGATTATATCAACAAACAAAACAATTCAATTTCTCAATCAATTAATCAGTCTATCAACACTAGAAATGAAGAAGCCTCTTTGGAATCGAGTCATAAAACAAGGGATCTTAACCTTCCTAAAAATCAAAAAAATAAATATGGTGATACTTGGACCGATTAAGCATCGTTTATTAAATTAGAAAAAAAATTATTGTTAAATATACAAATTTATAAATTCAAATTGTGATGCTTCATTATAAAATCCGAAGATTGTTAGTTTTATTTCAATTGGCCAACTTCGAAAAGATAAGCTCCAAGGAGTTTAGTCTAAAAGTAAAACAAATAATCATGGAAATCATTCTAGCACAATATTCAGTAGAGATATACTTACGCCCTCAATATAATTAAATATATCAATTTTTTCATTTTGAGAGTGTGCACCATCATCACAAGCACCAACTGGAATTAATATGACATTCTTTCCGGTAGCTTCTTGGAGAGTTAATGTAACTGGAATAGATCCTCCTTCGCGAGTCATATCTGGGTCAACAGAAAATACATGTTTTACTGCACGCTTTGCGGCTTCATAATGAGGATGATTAGGATCTTCAGTCCATGGTTTACCGCTGCTTGAAAGGTTTACCTAATTAATTTAAAATGATCTTAAAATTTGTGTTACATATATGAACTTGTTTTAATATGTACTTTCATTAAATTCGGTGATCCGCGTTCTTCCCATTTTGAATTCAAATATTTCACAACACACTCATTAATATGCTCTGGATCTTGATTCGGAACTAGGCGCATTGAGAATTTTCCAATCACTTTAGCAGGTATTACGGTTTTTGCACCGTGTTCATAAAAAGCACCTTCAATACCATGTATCGAGAGTGAAGGATACCGCCATCTATGCATCAGCAGTTTTGTTTTGTCTTCATTGTGGGGGAGCTTTCTAGTACCAATATCATCCCTAATTGTTTTTTATACATGATATACAGATATATATGTATTGAATATGAAATATAATTAAACACACAATATGTGGCGTATTTTTATAAAATAAAAATATAGTGAACTACAAAAAAAAAAATTTTGGTTTAGCCCCCCCCTCAATATAATCCTGATTACGCTACTGCATACTATCATTATGATTTATGTAACTACCATCCTTATCTTACCTGTAATCATTGATATCGTAGTCAATGTTATCATAAATTTGGTTTTCATTGTGTAACAAAGGTGCA